CTAATATTTTGAGTCATCATCCATGATTGGTTCTTGGATATGGTTGGAACAAGCCTGGGATGGAGTGATCGTGAATAAAGGGCCTAAGGAAGCTGGTGATCTCTACTATCAACCAACTAGCAATAGTACAGTTATCAAAAAAAAGAGATGTGCTACTGCGAACTCTTGATTTTTATACCATACCGCCACAGGTAGTTTTTTAGATTATGGAATTAAATGTCGACAGGTTCTTGCAAAGTTAGTAGTGAAAAACTTGGCTGTTACCCAACTGAAATTTAACAGATTCTGAAAGTAATTACGAGTAATAATATGGACAGACTATTCTGCTGGCATTTGAAAATTTAGAGAGCAGTTAAATGTGCACCATATTTTAGAAAGGAATTTTATTGATACGGGTAAATGTCAGTCTATAAAATTTTAACATGCGTTACCCTGACTCAGGTGAGGGAGAGCAATTGCGGCTACAACAAAAATCTCATAATGCGTGGTAGAAGGTTCATTTGACCTAAATATCGATATGAATATGTAAAATGAAACGTTAATGGCTTACAAAAATGCTTGTTGCTTCTTTGTAATATGCTAACCGCAGCTAGTAACGTCTGAACGTTTTTGAAATGTAGACTGAAATTTAGAGTCTATTCACTATATCTGTATAGAAATCAAACTGTAAGTAATGATTTATTTTTTATACATTTTTTGAATGTTTTGTGGAATCTTTTCCCCGGTGTTAGATTTTCTTGAAATTACCAATTTAGTTGATACTTGAGCATTCTCCATAAACATCAAATTATCATGCGTTCATATTCTCGATGCTTCTAGGGACACAAAACGTGTTCTTGCAAAATTATTTTGGTACTACTGTATCGACGAATCCAGAAGACCTATCGGAAATCGCACATATGTTGTAGAGGAAGGCAATGTAAAACGATAAAATTAAAAATACCAGTTTCTGTTGGTCGCTCGATCTCGGGTGCTATTTATGACTTAACCTTAGCAACTACGCTCTTACAAACGCATTAGTTTTGCAAAATGATATGATGTAAGGTTATTAGATAATGTTCCTCTATGTTTTAAATGGATGCCCCTCATTCTAAGCTGCTTTCCAGTGGTTTTTGGTTTGACAGAGTCACGATCTCGAACTCCTCCAGAAACAATACATGAGAATATAACGTGCAGTGGAATGGTATTCGTGCTGAGCCCTACTGAGTTACTCCGAATTACCCATAGTAACTCAAGAGGGTCACTGGAAAGCAGCTCAGGTCTAGACATACAATGAAAAATCAAATTTGGTTTGGCATTAATATCAAACACTGTAGCACTGTACACTTCCTAAATACGTCCATCCTCTAATGTTTGTCAGTCTACAGGTAATCTGCAGAATCTGTAAGTTAGTCAGTAGTTAATAAAAGCTCTGTTTAGCCTACAATGCTTGTATGTACCAAATAGTCGATATATCACTTAGGTCATTTCTACATCAAATGTATCTTGGCATGCTCAATGGATAGAAAAATGCCATCAGCTTCAGATGTCACATGTAAAATTTTCAGAACATGATCAGGACTGCCAGAGCCTCCAAAATTCGAAAGGGCGTGACCGGATAAGATAAATATTCCCATTCTCAAAAACTCTTAGAGTCTTCAAAGCGATAAGCAAAGGTGAGGTTATTTCGATGGTGTTTTGGTTTTGTCAAAGATTCCATGAATACATGGTATATTAAGTCTGCGTCTATTTATTTTTGGTAACTACTGCATATCCGAGAGACACTCATCCGGATTTGTATATAAATTCCATTACCAGAAACCATTGAAGTGTGAACTATATGTTATATCTCATTAATATTGTTTAATATTTTTAATTGAATTACCCTGAGGGCAACCAGGTTAATTCCGTACAAGGTAGGCGAACCTTAATTTTGAACAATGACTGTTACATTGAATTCATTGCAACAAGTTCAACGAGCGATCATAAAAGTTAAGCCGCCTCCATAGTTGTTGGCAGTCTAGGCAAATGACAAGCGAGACATGAACGTTCGCAGAAATTTTCTTATGGGCGCGATCATCGGCAAGAGATAACTTTTTGTGAGAGCAAACGGCCCTCCCTGTCTCTCCCCCTTCACCCTGCGGACGCCCATGAAGATAGAACTACTCTAGCTACAGCCTAATGATGGTTGCTTAAGATAACAAACAAAAATATCAGTGCTTTAGTTACTTAAACTACGACTAATACACAAATTCTGGAAATCCCGGAAAGTGATGCTATGTCTAGGGCCAAAACATTTTCACACATCTATCAAAAATGGATTGAATTTTTCAATATTACTTTGCCTTTCGGGAATATTGAGTTGGCATCACAGAATATGGCTCCTATATCCATCAAAATTAGTATAACAGCTACTGAATGTCCGAGAATAGAGAAACGTAATTAGAAAAAATAACATTCGAGCCGATACCACAAAATATCATAACAGAATTGAAGGTACCTAGATTATGATCTATTTGAATATTTGCTCATAGAATAAACATCTCATCTCTCTTACCTCATTTTCATTCACAAATAGTCTCTTCTTAATAGCACTCTTGATAGAAGTGAAGTCAATATCATCCTTCTTTTCTTCGTTCTTTTTTTCTTCGCCCTTAACCTCTCCAGTAGCGAAATAGAGATCGTTAGAGCACTGATTCCCGCTCGAATCGGAATAAAGGACACTCCCGTTACCCGCACTCTCATTCCCATTTTCAGTCTTTTCGCTGCTATCCATTTTGGACTGACTGTTATTCAACGATGAGGTCGGTTCGCTCTCCATGCTGATGTTCAGTTTGTATTCAATGTCGCTCGCCGTTAACCCCACTCTTTCCGGACGGTTATGACTTTCTTCTTCTGTCGGTCGTTTCTTGTGGAAGATTTTTCCCGTGGTTTGCAGTGCTTTCTTGCATTTGTTCTTTGAATTTTTGTAGAGTTCTTCCAAGTTGATGCCGAGTTTGTCTCTGTCGCCGAATGCGCCTACCTTTTGGGAAATAAGGAGCTCAGTCAAAGTGTTTCTTACTCTAGTGAGCCATAAAGTCGTCTCTCGTAAGTGACTGTAAGGTACTGTAACAGCCCAAGGAGTGGGGTATGTTCCGAAATTTTCACTTCAAGGAGTGCAACGCCTAGCTGCCAAAACGCATATTTTGGGTGCTTTTTTGAAAAGTAATATTTGCTCTCCAAGGTTCAAACTTAAAAGTTTGCGCTCAAGCTGTGACGTACAAGTTCTAGCCTTAGATAATTTATTTTTCACGCTTTATCTTTAGAATGACCCTAATCCTACCATAGGTAGTATCTTCGCATTCTGACTCCTATTTGTTACGCAATCCAATACAAAAGGGACCCCATTGGCAACATTAAAATGTCCAGTTTTTCATATTGCTTATCGGGGTCGAAAATGATCTATTTTGCACAAGTATTGTATCGCTTATATCTCGAACTATCAAGTTAAGAGAGAAGTTCCATGGCATCTTTCTTTTCATAATGTCCTATAAACCTAAAAACACTTTGACCAGAGCTATTTGACCTGAAGTGTATATGCTCTTTCTATCGGAATCTGGATTAAAAATCAAATCATTTGCTTGATTCCTGGGGCAAAAATACAAATAATGTAAAAGTACGAATTTCAAATGCTTTTTTCAATTTTCAAGCGAAAAAATAGGACAATCTGTATCGTTGTCGAAAAATGGATGTAACAGCCAAATTTCAATCACCAAAAATCTCAGCCTAACTTTCTGATTTCAATTAGACCGATAAGACCCCATTTCAATTCTGTATTAATGTTGACAGCATTATGTGGCAAGTTATAAAGTTCTAGATGTGGTTTACTTTTTGATTAAGATTTGGCCAAAAGTGTTTCTAATAGTTATAATATTAAAATTAAGTGTATTAATTCATTTAGTTTTTAGAAAGAAAATCCAAACTTTCTACTATCCTGAAATAAATATGCCATGGTTACACTACAAGGGATAAATAAATAGGATGTAGCTTCAGACTTTATCGAAGACCTTACCAAAACAGTAGTCAAGTGAATTCAAAATGCTAAACCTTTTAAATACATAAAAGCTATCGACAGAAGTTTATTCAACTGGAACTAAAGAATTTGGGTAGATGAAGATCACAAGTGTTTCAAAGGATTCCATAACTCGCCTAGAACTTTTCTTCACATCTGAACAGGAAATGAACTTGAAAAATCCTCCCCTTTCCCAACTGCCACTCAACTATGTTGTTGGCAGTTGGGATAGTGATAAAAGTAGCTACACAACTCTACAAAAGCATGATAATATTTTTTTTTTATAATTTTTTCACGAACTCGTATTTGTTATTTGAATTTTGTTTCAACGTCTCTTATTACCACCTCGCCAAAAAAATGTGATGTCACCTAAATGTGATGCATCTATGGCCATAATAGGCTTATATTGGCTAATATTTGGCTTAACCAGAGCAAAACACAGGGTCTTGTTTTATTCAGAGCTGTATGATAGAATGTCATTTTTCCAATATCAGTTGGTATCCCATTCACAAAGCAAAAGTTTCAACATACAAGAACATCAGAATTGTATAACAGCACTTGCACTTGAGTACATAAAGATGGTATCAATACTCATATGTACTATATTTTTATTGATCTTTATTATTTTGTATTACATTCTTTACCTCATATACAAGTTGTATCAAGTAGGTATGAATAAAGAATAAAGCTCGAAAATATACCAATCGCACCAGTTTTTATTTCAATATTTTAAGGTAGGTGTTCTTCGTTATTTAATTGAGCAAGACATTAAACTCCATCACTCCCCAAAAAAAACAGAATGCTGTAATATAAACTTGATAATGTTATTTCTCTTTTGTAGTTTATTGTATAGTCTGATATAAGAATTGAGGTGTTCAAGATTGGACAAATCCATGAAATCAATGGCATTTTAATTTTAGAAGAGTAAAATACTAATGACATTTTATCATCTAGCTAAACTTAGACTCACTTTTTGTTGAGCAGCGTGTTCCACCATCAAATTACTGAACTTTGATCTGAAGTCATTCCACTTATCCACAGCTTTTTTTGGTTTCCTCAGCAAACTGGCTCGTTTTAAGTATATCGGTAGTTTACTTCTAACCTTACAATACTCCAAAGTTTCCGAATCCTTGCTTTCTGTATCTTCACTAGATTGTTTCAGTAGAACTTGACTTGCTGATATGTGTTCGATACTCAAATCACGTGGTGGGACAAGTGGTTTCTGATTCTCCAGAGCCTCAACGTCAAAATCATGCAGCGATTGGGATAACCTGTTGGTCTTCTTCAAAGATCTTGGAACTTTGTAAAAGTTTTCATCGTATTCTTCCTCATCATGCTCTCTGAGCGCCAAATTGGGGTCACTCCCAGCAGATTTTATCACAGCTACAGGTATGTTCTCTAAACTTTTCACAAATATTTCAGTCTGACTCACAAACTTTTCGCTAGGATGGCACAGTGGTTCTTCGGAGTCCAAAATTTTCTCAGGCGTTTGAAGAGTGATCTTAACCTCAGTCTTTTTGTGAAACTTCACTTGCTCATAAGCCGATTCGTCTTCTTGAGCTTCTTTAGGCTTTTCGAAAAATTTGAAAGATATCTTTGGAACGTCATATTCAAACTGACTGTTGTTTTTGATCAAAGTTTCCGATTGGCTTTTCAATGTTTCTTCGATGTCTTGGTATAATTGACCTTCAGGCTCAACTCTGTCATCTGAAGATGCATCAATGAAGAGTTCTTCCTCTTCTGTGTCAGATCCACTTGAATCTACGTACACACTAGCTGGCAGGCTTCTGCTTTTGTCGTACTCGTTCTGAGCTTCCTGAAAGTCATAGAATCCTGATGATCTTTTAGAACCTTTGTCTGACTTGTCGTCATCTCGAGTTGGTGACCTTCTCAAGAAACCTCCATTGATGTTAGGCACTGTAACCCTCCATTGCTGCTTGTTGATTTTTGTGGTGATGAATTTTTTCATTTTTTTGCTAACATAGTGTACACGCTAGGTTATATAACGCTGCGGAGAACAAAAAACAACACACATGGTTAACAGTGAACGGTGTAAGGTTAAAAGTAAACTGATAGGCTGATAGCTAGGTAGAAAATTTGTAGCCCGGTAAAGCAAATGACGTACCGCTGATACTTGTGAAAAAAGAGTACAAACTATATAAAATAACAATATAATTAATGGTGTTCAACAGTACAGGTATTTCGTCATGGTATACCATTGGCGGGGATTCGGAAGGAGTACCTAACAGCTGAAAAAGTGTCGAACTGAAATTTTTTATCTACTTCCGATAATATCAACTCGGAAATGAAATCGAAACTGCAGACGACATGAACACTTATCATTCTTGCGCTGCAGTAATTATTTAGAGTGTAATTTTGATTGTCAGTGAAATCGCAGCTGGTCATTGATTATATTATTAAATGTTTTTTACTATGATGCTATTAAAATTAATATGTATATCTATTAATTAGATTTTCGCGTGTAAAATCTCTAATGAGCGTTGTAAATTATTATAAAATCAAGTTTTACAAATAAAATTTAAATACAGAGTCTCCCGTATAAATCTGACTGGCTTGTTTCTTCAATACCTTTAAAATAAAATGAAATAGATTCATTTATTTCTCAATCTTGTATTGAAATAAGCACGGGTAGTCGCCCTCATATTGAAACCACAACAACCTGAGCCCTCCTGATCATGTTTTCCATCATATTTCTTCACAATACATATATCGTTTCGATAATTGTGTGCAATTACGCTCTTTTTGCTAGAACCACCTGTCCTGCAGGTCAGGTTATCAAATTTCAAGAGCTACATAAGCTTTGTATCATCCGGCGGTGATTCTTGTCAGTGACAGTTTGGAAATCACCTGCAAAGTCTTCACAAAAAGAAGGACACCTGCCTTTGGTGTCACTGGTGTCACGATAAAATGCAAAAACCTGTCACACAGCTCAATAAATGATTAATCCTTTAATGTCCTCATCTGCGGGGATGTCTGGAAAATAAGGCTACTGCCATGGTTTATGCTAACAGATCAAGCTCTACAGCGCAGCAAAAGATCAATGTCTGGAAAGATATTCAAAAGATCTACCAAAAAGTGATGAAACACGTAATCTGAAGGTCTCAGGTTCATGCGTCTTCTAGAGGTTGGACATTCATGTGACATCAGTTTCATACATAAATACTTTTAATAAGAAGGTAAGATAACGAAATGGATCTATATCATTTCAATTCAGAGATTTAGGAGAAACCAGCCACTAAGTTATGTGGGCCGCCGTGCAAGTAACAACATATTTTCATCTTCACAAGAATGCTCTCTCTGCCGAAGTCAGGCTGAATCTATGCGGCTCGTTGATATTGCCTTCCTTGTCGTATGCTGATATTGTGTACTGGTCTGCTCTCACTGCTAGAGACAAACTGTCTATCCAAAAAAATCAGAGCTCATGTATTCAATTTTCGTACGATTTGAAAAAATATGACCACTTCAGTGATGAATTTCGAGCCTCCGGCTGGTTCAATATGCCATAGCGTTTTTCGATACATCTTACTTGCTTAACTTAAAATATTAACAAAACCCAGCTACCACTTTAACTCTATATAAAACTTGTTAAGAGATCTCACCTTCATGATAGGCAAACTCGTACTTGTGATCTCTATGATGTTCTGTTCCATAGTACTGAACAGTTTAAAAAGTAATTTACTCATGTTGAATCTACAATGTACAGCTCATTGTCAGATACAGTAATAAATTCGCTATCACTTAGCTTCCGAAATAGAGTCAAATCCCATGTGAAAAGACTACAATAGTTTTATTTTTGCTGTTGTATCAATTACAACTATTGTTAATCTGTAATTTTTAGGTTATCATTATTATTAGTATAGTCTTATTTACGGGGTTTGCATGGAAGAACAACTGTATTAAATGCCGCCTCTCCCTATTCAGATGAGTTTTTTTTTTGTTTGTACTTTTAACCCAAAAATAAAGACACATTATTATTATTATTATATTCACGAAAATTGTACATTTGTGCGACCATTTGCCACATAATAGGAATAATAAAGCAGTACCGGCCAATTATGTACCAAGAAAGGTAAAGAAATACCGTTTACCAATAATAAGACCAAACGGATTGGGAGATAACAAGATGATCTTCGAAATCAATGTCTCATAATGACGTAAACGATTGTTTGAAATTGGTCCAAATGAAAAGAATTTTATCTGCGACCGAGCGGAAAAATTTACTTTACCGATTTTCTAGGCGTTGAGTTTAAATTTTCAGCCCACGGGCTTCTTAACGCCCCTCGATGATACAGTAACTGCAAAGTCCGCATTCTTCAAATTGTCCTCGAAAACTTTCCATATTTATATAACAGTTGCAATTACCGACATCTAATAATATAGTACGGATACGTAACCTTTTGAAAGCTGCTTTAAATTTCTAACGTACCTTGTAGCCGGTCGTAGATAGATTTGTACGTATCTTGTTTTTGCAATATGATATTATAACAGAAGAATTTAGGATCAATATGAAAAAAACAAATCCAAATCTTCCGACTGGACTGTAATGGTGTAGAGAGCATTTGAAAATGATGGCATTATAGCAATAGTAAGAATGCCACTGCTATATGGTAATTTTGAAATTATCAACCGGTGTAATGTAAAGCAAAACGAGACGGTTATGGAATTTGTAGATTCTCACAGGCTACTCATGATCCCACAATAGAAGCGATCAACGTTGCATAAAATGAACGAAACATTGATTTTTCTCGAGTAAATTGATTTCTTCGAACCGCAGCTGTAAAATTAAGAACAACTTCTCAAGCATGCCTAATACAGTTTTGTTAATATAACACTCAGTAGGATATTTCGTGTGGTTCATTTTGGCAATAATCATTGAGTTAAATGCTGGATATCTACAGTATACAAACAACTATTGATAACAACTATTGGTGGGAATAATTTGCCAATACTATGACTAATTTGTGAAGGTAAGCTATTGGCTCAGATAGCGATGATGTTCAAGGCTATACAATTTTTCTAAGACTACATAAATTATTGCAATGTGTTTTTCCACTTGTAAAGGTTACTGTTCGGACTTTGGTATCTCTCCTCTAGATTCATCAAGTAGGTGATGCTTCTATCACTCGGAGCAGGACAATAGATAACACGATTTGGTCAGCCTCTCTGCAATTTCTACACAAGATTGGCGAGCTTATTCTTATTTGTTGTAGATGTTTCATGATGCACCTAAATAAATGATGGTTAATCAAAAACTCAGTCAGTAGTTCTTTTCCTCCCAGTTTCAAAGATTCTGCGCGATGAAGCTTACTGTTTCCTTGGAATGAGTATCCCTACTGCCAAATGTTTGAATCAGCTTTCGATTTGTTGCATCACTAAATAATCAGAGGTTTACCAACATGGTTGAACATACATCAATGTAAATATGTATTCAGGATATAAAGGGGTAAAAAGTGTGCGCATACGTTCGCTCTCATGCTGCTTATGTATGTATGGTATTATTTGAAATGCTTCGATCATTACCAACAGAAGTGATATCACCAACAAGTGTAATTGAAGTACTTGTCCAAACTAAATCTTTTAATAATTCTCGAGCCTAGGTCTTATTTGCGCCTTGTACAGAATGAGGAGGCTATGTGGAGCAAAGTACTACTTAGCCCTAAACAAATAGCCTTTTCTCCAGCCGCTGCCGCTATTGGCGAGATGTGTTCGTGTCAGATAAAGGCAACGATGATATGTACTGTGACCAGCCGAGATGAACCGCTCTTAGGTCTCATTGAAACTGGATGAGCGCTTGTGCGCTTCTTGTCAGTCAAGGTACAGTACTCCAGAACTGTGTTTTGGAAGCGTTAAACTGTAAAATTTTAGCTATATGTATATATATATATATATATATATATCTAATTTACATATCTATGGATGTGTAATCATTCTCATCAATATGAATCACTTCTGAAATTCATGCAATTTTAATATCCTGCTTCTCATCTACTGATCCAAAAAATGGCATTGCCAAATAAAATGTACTCCCATGTGTAAAAATAAACGGAGGCAGAACGATGCACATAATCTCGAGCGTACTAAACAGGTATGTTTGGCGCAAATTGCTGGGGAAGGTCAAAAAGCATTGTTGTGGCATCGTATTCACATTATTACATCGCGTACCATGCATGCTATAGGTTCGCCATTTTACAATCAGCATGAATTCGTTATTTCACATTGCAACTTAAATATGCGAACTGATGATTTTTTAAAAATTGGTTACATATAGTAATTATAGGAATACTGAAAAATCGGGACCACCAGGGCAAGTAGATCAAATTTAGTAATTCTACGGATAAAGGCTTTTTTCGCAACTAGCCTGAGAAATCACCTCATTCTTATAAGAGCAGGATTTTTCTCCTAAATAAATAATGCTAATGAAAAAACTTTAAACAAATAATGAATGTACGTATTGTTTGGAACAAATTGTAATTGCAATTAACCCTTTATCAGTTTTTGAATATTACTAATAATTTTTATTTATGAGCAAGTGCGATGTCCATTTTGTATCTGAAACTATTACTGTTGTATTATTGCAGTTACTTATCTCATTATTTTGATAGCTTGAAAGTCTTACGCTACTGGGTACTTTGGAGTATTTGATACTTCATACTATGTCCAAAATGTTGAACAATTCTCTGCTCCTTTTCTATGGTATATGAGGTTTATCGGGGCGCGCAATGAATCTTGTCCTGCCTGAAGTGTTTTTTTCTATCCAACCTTTTCTCGGCTTTCTTCTTGCTCATTGGTTCAGAGTAAGTTTGACCGAAGATACAAGTGTGCTGATATCTAACCTGGATTGAGGCCGATGGAGGCGAGTTTCTGCCTCCCGGCCTGGCCAGATGCTTGATCATCTAATAATCTCCCAGTTATTACTCAAAAAACACACACTAAGAGTTATGTTTTCTTTTTGAGCTGTAGGAAATTTCAGGCTGATAAAACATGATACAAATCAAAAGCATGAACTATTTGATGCAAATAGATATTTGTGACATAACCTCAAAATAGAGCGCTGACACAGAAGAGTAGAAAACTATAAAAACCAAGGAGGCCATAAAGGCGTCCTACAATTGTAGGAACCAATGACGATACGGCCTTTAGTGACAAAGAAAATAGAAGACCCGGTGTAAAAATAAATTGAATGAAATTTTATTTAATTCCCGATGTTTGT